TAAGACTCAAGCAAGAGAAGAAATCTTGGCCCAACAATGTATCACTTACTCTACCAAGACAGTACAGCAAGATTTGAAGAAATTGCAATGTCCTTTGAGTTCTCTACCTGTTAGTGAAGAAGGTACAGTATTTTAATTCAGTTTTTATATGATTTATTTTCCTGGATTATGGAGCTCTTTTTGGCCATAAAGTTCAGAGGCGGACAAAGTTGAAATTAGGAATATAGACAGAGAAGGAAGATGTAAATGTAAATTTGAGGATAGAAAAACAAGTGAGAAACTCTTGAAGAAATAGACAATGAAACGATTCAGGCAAAACAAAAATTCAGGTTAAACATTAAAGAAAATTGAAGGATTTTTAAAACATTTTTGTGAGGGATGGCATTTTAGGGAATTGCTTTGAAATTTATATGTAATGGTTTCTTTAATTTGTAGAACATGACTTAAGTAAGAAGGAAGCTATTACTAAAAACTCAAATTGCCTTCCGATAAAAGAAGCCCCATCACTTGAAATAAATGGAGGTCAGCTATCTCAGCCACAGCACGACGTGCCATATTTCAGGTTTGTCTGCTTGTTCCTAGCAGAAAATTTTTGCATTCTTGTATAGACATTGAACATGCTTAATTTTATGTGCAAATATTTAAAATAGTAAATTGGGGGAAACTTACTCTGGATGGTTCTCACTTAACTTTTTTAAAAAACTTTATTGTCAAGGTGATTTACAGAAGGGTTACAGTTACATAAGTAAGGTAGTAAGTATATTTCTTGTCAAACTTGTTAACCCTCTCCCTCATTTTTCTCCCACTTTCCTTCCCTCCCCCAACAAGTAGTACAGATCATTTCCAACATATTTTCTTGTATTGCTATTGCATTGGTTCCCCCTTGTCCTTTGTCTCACCATTTTGTTGTTCCCCTTCCCTTCCCTAATTCAGATAAACGTGTATACAGTACCCAGGGTACCAAAATCAAATACAGTAATAACAGGGGATTAAACCATAGGGGGGAAAAACACAAAAGAAAAAAGAAATCACATAGTACATTTAAAACAACAACAAAAACCGTTTGTGTCCATGTCTTGGAGTTTATTTTGCTTAGCATCATCTTATATGGTCATATGTACATAACGATTGAGCTATAGTACTCATCTGCTAGGATCCTAGACATATACTAATTATTACACTTAAATTATTAAATTTATTAAGTTATTAAATTTTAATTTTTCCAGTAACTAATACGTTCTGTGTGGTTTCTTACCCAAAGGATAGGAAAATATGTAACAAATCTCATTAGAAACCTGAAACAAGATGTTTAAGGGGGAGGGGCAGGGCTTATGGAGGCAGGTGGAGCTGAATGAAAAAGGGAGCAGGGGCCAAGTACAACCAGAATATTTAATGTACATATGTGAGGAAGGAAGTGGAAGTTGGAAATGTGAAATGAGTCTAGGAGGAAGCATGAAGTGGGATGGTGAGAAGGATAGAAGGGGTCACTGTGAAGAACACTGATACTTAGATGTACAGGTTAAATTGTAATCCCCTTGCATAATCTTTTGCAGTTCAAAGAAAAATATCCTTCCCAATGTACTGTCCCAACCCCATAGATTGAGCCTTCCATAGAAGTCAGAATTAATCATTTCTTGTGAACTTTTTCAGAATAATGCATATATAGATAAATATGACATTTTTCTTTTCTAAAAATATTAACCCATTGTGTAATGTATACTATTGTATTCTGATTTCATATTCAAGTAGGTGAGAAATACTATCTCACCATAGTTACTTCATTTGGGTAATTTTTGGCTGTTTTAGTTTTGTTTGTGCCAGAACTGAGGCTTGAACTAAGTGCCTGGGTGCTGCCACTCTGCCTCTTAAGCTATATTTCCACTTGCACCTTTTTGCTGTAAAGGTCTTAGGCACTTTCTGTTCAATGTGGCTTCAAATCTTGTTCCTCATTTCTCAGTGTCCTGATTAGTTAGTATTACAGTTGTGAGCCACCAACGCCTAGCTACTCGTTCATTTTATTATGAGTATTTTATATGCTTGAGAACCAATTCAGCTTTCTTTCTTTCTTTCTATCTTCCTTTCTTCCTTTCTTTCTTTCTTTTTTTGTCTTAGGGCTTGAACTCTGGGTCTGGGCACTGTCACTGAGCTCTTCAGCTCAAGACTAGTGCTTTACCTCTAGAGCCACAGAGTCACTTCCAGTTTTCTGGTGTTTAATTGGAAATAAGAGTACCATGGACTTTCCTGCCCAAGCTGGCTTTAAACCACAATCCTCAGATCTCAGCCTCCTGAGTAGCTAGGATTACAAGCATGAGCCACCAGTGTGCCCAGCTTAATTTAGCTCTTCCTAGAGCATAAAATTTTCAAAGTACAAAGGATTTTAGAGATTATCTAGTCTGTTAATGTTATACAACTGAATCACTGAAGTAGTAAGCAACTGAACCAACTGTGTAGTATCAGAGCTAATCATTACATGTTTTGCCACTGAATATAAGCAACAAAATTTTTCTTTTAAGCTCAGAAACAAAAACTATCTTCAATTTTTCCCTCTGTGAAGCTGATGGAAGAGGTGGAAAGAGCCCCACTTTTTCTTTTTTATCTTAAGTTTGAAGAGATAATTTTTTTCTCTTATTTTTTTGCAGCAGGATCTCAAACGGGTCTCCAGTCTTATCTCATTGAGTGCTGAGATTATACACTTGTGCCTAGTATTTATCTTTTTGTGACTAGCTTTGATTTTATACGTCATATACTCAAATTTTATCTGTCTTTAAGAATTTCCCTTTTTTAAGTGTGAGTAGCACTCATTCCCCTGTCAGGGACACTCGGGGTGCTTCTATGTTTTGGCCTCATAAACACCTGAGGCTCTGCTTTCTGTTCTTTGGGGGGCATACACTTAGAAGTGAAATTGCTAATTCAGATTGTAATTCTACTTCTTTTGAGCAACTGCTATACAGTTTTCCATAGCAGCTATATTGTTTTACCTCCCATATGTGCTGAGATTTTTTTGTGTAAAAACAGATTCAACTTTCCTCAGACATAGGTTTCTCAACCTTACCATTATTGACATTTTAGAATTATGTGAATGTTGTGGGGATTTCATAGCATGCCAAGTTAGTAATAATGATTTAAAAAAAAAAAAAAAAGCCTGCAGGCATCATCAAATGTGCCTGACTCCAGGTAAGAACCATTGCCTAATAACCAGAGAGATAGATCCTGTCAGCCCTATCACTTGACTCCCATTTAGCGTAGGTACTTGGGTAGCCTTGTTCCATAGGAAATATCAGAGAATCCAATACATACTAAAGAATATTTGACTCCAAAATTTTAGAAAAACAAGAAAACCAAAATGGAGCTGTAGCTCACCTGGTAGAGTGCCAGCCAATGGAAAAGCCAAGTGAGAGCGCTAGTCCCTGAGTTCAAGCCCTTAGTACTGGCACCAAAAACAAAAACAAACAAGAGAACAAGCTAGCAGTGTTAGCTTAAAAGGTAGACTTTTGAGCCAGGCACCGGTGGCTCACGCCTGTAATCCTAGCTACTCAGGAGGCTGAGATCTGAGGATCACAGTTCAAAGCCAGCCTGGGCAGGAAAGTCCATGAGATTCTTATCTCTAATAAACCACTAGAAAACTGTAAGTGGCACTGTGGCTCAAGTGGTAGAGCACTCACCTTGAGCTGAAGAGCTGAGGGATAGTGCCCAAGCCCAGAGTTCAAGCCCCATGACTGATCAAAAAAAAAAAACAGTAGACTTTTGAGCCAGGTGCAGGTGGCTCACACCTGTAATCCTAGGCTGAAGTCAAGTGAATCTCCTGCCCAACCTCAGTAGTCCTGAGGCTTTAACTCAGGGCCTAGGTGCTATTCCTGAGCTTCTTTTTGCTCAATGCTAGTGCTCTACCACTTGAACCACAGTGACACTCTCAGCTTTTTCTGAATAGTTTATTGGAAATAAGAGTTTTATGGACTTTCCTGTCCTGGCTGGTTTTGTACCGTCATCCTCAGTTCTCAGTCTCCTGAGTAGCTAGGATTATAGGTGTAAGCCAACAGAGCTGGCTATCAAGTGGATTCTTTTTTTGGGGGGGGAGGGGTTCCGGTTGTGGGGCCTGAACTCTGGACCTGGGCACTGTCCCTCAGCTCTTCAGCTCAAGGCTAGCGCTCTACCACTTGAGCCACAGCTCCACTTCCGGCTTTTTTCTTTTTGCTTATGTGTTGCTGAGGAATCGAACCCAGGGCTTCAAGCATGCAAGGCAAGCTCTCTACCACTGAGCCACCTTCCCAGCCCTCAAGTGGATTCTTGTAAGTTGTAGGTGTAGAATGACAGACACACACAAAATATTGACTTACATTTATGAATTTGAATATAAAAATGTATGGGTTTTCCTTACTGAATAAGCTGAACTCTTGAAAAATGTATATTGTTCCTGTTTTCTATTTTCCTAATATTAGGTATCATAATATAATGCTAATACCAGTACTAGTGTGGACAGCACTTGTAAAATTGAAATCTATGTCGTAATTGTAGACAGATCCTCCAGTCAGAAACTGAGAAATTAACCACCGTCTGCCTTGAGTGGGACAGGAAGCTTGAATTGGACATTCCGGATGACGGTCAGAGCACTTGTGTTTGTTGATGTCTTAGCTTTGTTTGAATTGGACATTCCGGATGACGGTCAGAGCACTTGAATTTGTTGATGTCTTGGCTTTGTTTCTTTTAATGTGATTGTATTTATCTGAAACATAAAAATCCAACTTTGTAGTGTCATTATTTCTCAAAATAGTAAGAATTTTTTTATTATTCAGCATATATTCCCTATCTGTGTTACAGTGGGATAAGAGATGTGTGTATCTGAGTGCATGGTGGCTCAGTTATAACCATAGCTACTTGGAGGGTTGAGATATAAGAATCAGAGTTAAAAACCCAGCCCAGGTGGACAAATCTAAAAGGCACTTACATCAAATTGACCAACAAAATAGTGGGATTAGAGGTGTGACTCAAATGGATTCCACAGGCCATGAGCAAAAATGCCAGACAAGCATGAAACCCTGAGTTCAAGCCCCAGTACTAGCACAAAAATAAATAAAAATGTGCATGTATTTTGAGATTTTTAAAAAATGAGTGCTACCAATATTTGGTCTTATCTACACAAAAATGTTTTCTGGGGGCTGGGAAGGTGGCTCAGTGGTAGAATGCTTGCCTTGCATGCATGAGGCCCTGGGTTCAATTCCTCAGGACCACATAAGCAGAAAAAGCTGGAAGTGGCGAAAATGTTTTCTGAATCAAAATTAATCTTAATATGAAAAGGATTTTCTTAAAAGATTCTTATTACATGGCAAAGCTATTTAGAGAAAACTTTATGTGCTGACAGTATGAAATCCTTAGGTACTTAATATGCAATGAATTATTTGAGGTTGAATTCTTATTACATGAGAGAAGTGGAATGCTGTCTATTACATACATTGCTAATTATTAGTAGGAGCTGAAGCAAATAGCTAATGCTCAATATTCATATGACAAAGTTTGTGGCAGACTTTTTTTGTCTTGTTTTGTAAGAGTTTGATTCTATAAGCCCTAGGATATTGAATTTTTTTTCTTTTTTTCCTAGTTCTGGGGCTTGAACGCAGGGCCTGGGTGCTCTTCCTAAGCTTCTTTTGCTCAAGGCTAGTGCTCTACCACTTGAGCCATAGCATCACTTCTGGCTTTTTCTGAGTGGTTTATTGGCAATAAGAGTTTCATGGACTTTCCTGTCTGGGCTAGCTTCAAACCACAATCCTCAGATCTCAGCCTGGGTTATAGGCATGAGCCACCAGCACCTTCTAGATTTTAGATTTTAATAATTCATTAAATAGTCTTGTCATTTAGTTGTATTGCTGTAAAGGTCTAGTCTTGTCTTTTTAACTTAATTTCTTATCTCTTTTAGCTAAAGATCTTATTCGAACAGCAGTAGGTCAAACAAGACTCCTTATGAAGGAAAGATTCAAACAGTTTGAAGGACTGGTGAATGACTGTGAATATAAGCGAGGTGAAAAAGAGACTACTTGTACAGACCTGGATGGATTTTGGGATATGGTTACTTTTCAGGTATGTGATCAAGTATTTTGGATATAATCATTTTTTAATGGAATATTAATAGCAAAATGAGGTGCTAGAAGCTTAGGCATCTATAAAATAAAGGAGCTATTGGGCACAGCTTTATAAGCTACACTATCTAAGTTTTATAACTTCTGGGTCTTCTCTTCCCTCATAATGTTAGGAAATAATTGTTAGTGGCAGTAACAATTTTGCATGGGAAAAATGAGCCATTCTAGTAGTTCAGTGAGCAGTTACTGAATTCCTGTTGTGTGCTAGGCATTGTATGAGTAGATGATAAAAAGGTAAATTGCCCATCCCAGGGAGTTTATGGTTTGATATGCAACAATGTGGCACAGCATAGAATTCTAATTTAATGAAGAAAGTCCTATGACAGAGGAAATTGGGTGAGAATGCTTTCTAGCTTTCTGGGCTTATTTTAGAAATAAGTATATAAAATATCACTTAAAGAGCCAATTTGAAAAAGAAAGTTATATCATTATTTTTTGGTGGTGCTTAGGATCAAACCAAAAATAAAACAATTATTAAATCTAGACAAAAGTTATGAGGAAACAAATGTAATCAACATTGCCCTATGGCCCAGATGTGAGTAGTGTTTATAGAATCATTTACCAATTGGGTGACTCACTACATTTTTCAATGGTGACCCATTTTGTTGTTTTTTTAATATCATTAATTTATGGTTTTAGAGGTAATATATTTACATTGTTTACAGAATAACAATGTATTTACATTATTAGTTTATATGTTTATTTATTTATTGGAGGGGTAGTCCTAGTGCTGGAACTCAGGGACTGGGCACTGTCCCTGAGCTTTTGTGCTCAAGGCTTTACCATTTAAATCACAGCTGCACTTCCCAGCTTTTTTGGGGCGGGGGAGGGTGGGGAGGGTCCAGTTGTGGGGCCTGAACTCTGGCCTGGGCACTGTCTAAGTAGGCAAGCACTCTACCACTGAGCCACCTTCCCAGCTTTTTGGTAGCTAATTGGATATAAGAGTTTCAGGGGCTGGGAAGGTGGCTCAGTGGTATGTACCGTGCTAGCCTTGCATGCATGAGGCCCTGGGTTCGATTCCTCAGCACCACATAAGCAGAAAAAGCCAAAAGTGGCACTGTGGTTCAAGTGGTAGAGCCCTAGCCTTGAGCTGAAGAGCTGAGGGACAGTGCCCAGGCCCCACGACCGATTTAAAAAAAAAAAAAAATTTCTTAGCCAGCGCCATCAGCTCACCCATGTAATCCTAGCTACTCAGGAGACAAAGATCTGAGGATCATGGTTTGAAGCCAGCCCAAATAAGGAAAATCCCTGAGACTCCTATCTCCAGTTAACTATCAAACAGCTGGATGTGGAACTATGACTCAACTGGTAGAAGCTAAATTTGAGCAAAGAAGCTCAGGAATAGTGCTCAGGCCCTGAGTTCAAGGCATACAACTGACAAAAAATGTTTTACAGACTTTGCTGCCAGGCTGGCTTTGAACTGTGATCCTCAGATCTCAGCCTCCTGAGTAGCTAGGATTACAGGCGTGAGCCACCAGTGCCTGGCTGTTTCTAACATATTTATAAGGCACCATATGATTTTTTTTTTTGATGTTTTGTATGTCCCTCCTCTATGGGAAAACCCCCTCACTATATTTGATGTTAGTATAATTTGAGGAGGGGAAGGGAAAAAAACAAATTGTTTAAATACGGATATAGGTTGACCCATTGCAATATGAGATGCTATGTCAAAAGAAAAACTTTATAATTTAGGTGCGGGCGGGGGGGAGGGTTTGGGGGGGAAGGGAGTGGCACGGCGCGGCGATGAGGGAGTATGGTTGTGAAAATGAGAGGGAAGGGATGGTAGGGGAAAAACAAAGGAGGGGGCAACAATGCTTGATAAGCAATGTATTCATTACCTTGCTCATGTAATTGTAACCCCTCTGTACAGTATTTTCACAATAAAAAACTGTTTCCAGCCAGGTGCCAGTGGTTCATGCCTATAATCCTAGCTACTAAGGAGGCTGAGGTCTGAGGATCCTGGTTTGAAGCCAGTTCAGGCAGGAAAGTCTGAGAAACTCTTATCTCCAATTTACCACCCCCCACCCACCCCCCAAAAAAAAAAGCTACAAATGGAATGGTAGAGCACTAGCTTTGAACATAAAAGCTCAAGGACAGTGCTCAAGCCCTGAATTCAAACTCTAAGACCAACACCAAAAAAAGTTTTCATTCTGAGCATGTACAGAAATTTTTGTCATAGTTTTCTGAACAATTTAGTCCAGGAGGTATTTATGGAGATCAAGGTTGTAAATGCATTATTTGAATCTTCTATATTTATTTATTTTGTTTGTGTGGCAGTACTTGGGTTTTGAACTAAGGGCCTAGTGTTTCCTAGGCTGGTTGTGATAATGCTGAGACACAACCTTTACCTCTGTTTTTCTTGTGTTATTTTTTGGATAGGACCTTGCTTTTTGCCCAGGCATTTGAGCTATGATCTTACTACTTCTAGACTTTCATATTGCTGGGAGTGAAGGGTATATTCTACCAGTTAGCTTCTGTCTTTGAAGATAAGAGTCCAATAGATTTTTCTACCTCAGCTGGCCTGGAACCACAGTCCTCTTAATTTAGCCTCTTACGCACTTGAGGAGTTAGGCACTTGTCACTAGCTATTGATCAAGAAGGGATTTTTCAATTTTTTTTTTTTTTTTTTTGCTGGTCTGACCACGAACTGTCTTCTTCCCATTTTCAGCTTCCCACGTGGCTATGATTATAGACATGAGCCATGGGGTTCTGGCTGTTTTGGGATTTTATTGTTAGAGACAGGCTAGTTGGGAACTCATGATCTTCTTCTGCTTCCCCTTTGCCTGTGCTTAGATTATAGGTTTGGACCACTATAGCCACCTTATTATTAAATCTTTTATAATAAGGTTGTGTCCAAAAAAAAAAAGAGAGAGTGCTAGGAATGTGGCTTAGTGATAGAGTGTTTGCCTAGCATGCATGAAGCCCTGAGTTCCATTCCTCAGTACCACATAAACAGAAAAAAACAGAAGTGGCGCTGTGGCTCAAGTGGTAGAGTGCTAGCTTTGAACAAAAGAAGCTCAGGAACAGTGTCCAGGCCTTGAGTTCAAGCCCCAGGACTGGCAGAGAGAGAGAAAGAGAGAGAGAGGAAATATTTGTAAAAGAAATATAAAAACTGCTACCCAAAATATATGAAAAATCACCAGTAAGAAAATTAGCAACTGGATTGGGTTGTAGCTTGGGCATAGAGCACTTGCCTAGCATGTAAGAGGTTCTATGTTTGATTCCTAATACCCTCAAAAAAAAAAAAAATCTAAAAGACCTGAACCAAGATGCCTCTTCAAAGAACATAAACAGATGGTAGACAGGCATATGAAGAGATTCTCAGCATCTGACATTAGGGAATTAAATGCAGTCAGTTACACCTGCACACCTTATGGATTGACACCACCACTGCTAGTGAGGAAGCAACAGGATGTGAAGCAACAGGAACTCTCAGTCATTGCTGATGACAGTGCAAGATGGCATGTTGAACTGCAAGACAGTTGGGTGGTTTCTCACAAAAATAAATGTACTGTTACCATATGGACAGCAATTGCAGTCCTTGGCACTTACCCAAATGAGCTAAAAACTTATGTTCTTACAGAAATCTATGTGTGGTGTTTATAGAAGCATTACTCATCATTGCCAAAACTGGGAAGCAACCAAGATGTCTCTTGATAGAGAAATGGATAAATAAGTTTTTCAAAATTGTAGCTGGGCACCAGTGGCTCATGCCTGAGAGTCTGAGATCCAGCCCAGGCAGGGAAGTCCATGAGATTGATGCAGTTAACCACCAAAAACACAAAACAAAAAAACCAGAAGTAGAGCTTCGGCTCAAGTTGTCCAATGCCAGCCTTGAATGGTAAAGCTCAGGGACAGCACCCAGGCCCTGAGTTCAAGCCCCAGTACTGGCACATATGCACATTATGTTTGTATTGTGTAATTTAAGAAATAAACAGCCAGGAGCCAGTGGCTCATGCCTGTAATCCTAGCTACTCAGGAGGCTGAGATCTGAGGATCACGGTTCAAAGCCAGCCTGGGCAGGAAAGTCCGTGAGACTCTTATCTCCAATAAACCACTAGAAAACCGGAAGTGGCGCTGTGGCTCAAGCTGTACAGCGCTCGCCTTGAGCTGAAGAGCATAGGGACAGCACCCATGCCCAGAGTTCAAGCCGCATGATCAACCAAAAAAAGAAAGAAAGAAACATAATTAAGATATCTTCTTTACCATTTTAGTGATTTAAAATAATGTAGAAGAAGTAGAGGAGTTATACATAATATCTTTTATGCAGATTTTGGAAGTTGATAAGACCAAAAATGATAGTTAATAATTTTACCATAAAAATTCTTGAAGTCAACAAATCGTTTAAATAGTTGATACAGGTGGACCCATTGAAACAATGAGACGTACAAGTCGTTATGTCGAAAATGAACTTTACAACTTTGGAGCGGGGGAGGAAGGAGGGCTGGGTGGGGAGTGGGAGAAGGATGGGATGGGAAGGGTAAACAAAGGAGGAGTCTACAATGCTTGATAAGAAATGTACTCATTATCTTGCCCATGTAATTGTAACCCCTCTGTACAGTATTTTCACAATAAAAATTTAAAAAATAAAAAATTCTTCAAGTCCAGATACAATGGCTTACGCCTGTAATCCTAGCTACTTAGAATGCTGAGATCAAGAGGATTATGATTCAACACCTGAGCAAAACTGACCCCATCATAACCAATTAAAAGGTGGACATTTTGTACACCTGTATCTCATCTATACAAGAAGTTTAAACAGGAGTATTTCGTTCCAGGCCAGCTATAACATAAAGCAAGACCTATTCAAAAACTACTGAAAGAAAAAAGGGCTGGAGGTGTGGCTTTAGAGGTAGCACAATACTGAGCCATTTTGATACCTTGAGTTTAAACTCGAGAACCATCACTCCCCCCAAAAAATCTTGTTGTGAACATTAAATTTGGGCTTTTATTAACAGGTAGAAGATGTTAACCAAAAATTCAACAATTTGACCAAACTTGAAGAATCTGGATGGCAAAACAATAACAACAATACCAGCAGAAAAGTCATTCGAGTAAGTTTGTAGTTTTAAATCTGAATTCCGAAAAAAGTTCTTCTCAAATTTTAAGCTTTAAAATCATTTACCTTCAGATAACTCATAAAAAATAAATTTCATAGCTGGGAAGGTGGCTCAGTGGTAGAGCGCTTGCCTTGCATGCCTGAGGCCCTGGGTTCGATTCCTCAGCACCACATAAGCAAAAAGAAAAAAGCCGGAAGTGGCGCTGTGGCTCAAGTGGTAGAGCGCTAGCCTTGAGCTGAAGAGCTGAGGGACAGCGCCCAGGCCCAGAGTTCAGGCCCACTTGACTGGACCAATAAATAAATAAATAAATTTCATATGTTATGTACTTATCTTTGAAGAAAGAACAAGGAAATGATCAACGTGAAATTTAGGATATTTCTAGAGAAAAATAAGTACAAGGATTGTGATTGAATTGGGGCACCCAGAAGTTTTTAAGTTACCAGATCATGAGTGTTCGCTTGTATTTTGTTTTTTTGTTTGATTGTTTGTCAGTTGTGCGGCTTGAACTCTGGGCTTGGGCACTGTCCCTCAGCTCTTCAGCTCAAGGTTAGCACTCTACCACTTGAGCCACAGTGCCACGTCCAGCTTTTTCTGTTTATGGGTGCTAAGGAATCTAACCCAGGGCCTCATATGTGCAAGGCAAGCACTCTACCATTGAGCCACCTTCCCAGCCCCGCTTGTTTGTTTTTATTTGAATTTGGGGTGAATACTGGATAGGAAAACATTCTACCACTTGACCAATACTCCCAGTCCTGTTTTATTCTTTGAACTGTACATTCTTTAAACTGTACCAGTAGATAATGTATATAATTTTTTACATGTGCTAAATATTCCAAGTACTCTGTTTAATTTATTCTATCCTTATAATAATCCTATGAGATTATCCTTATTATATGATTGAAAAATCTGAAGCCCATAAGTGTTGAATCACTTGCCCAAGGTAGAGCTGGGTTTCAGCTTAAATTTTCTCATTTCAGAGTCTGTGTTCCTAACTAGCAGCCATATTCTTTTGTTTGTTTGTTTGTTGGCAGCACTGGATTCAGTTCAGGAACTTATGCTTACCAGTCAAAAACACTCTACTACTGCGCTGTACCTCCAGCCCAGCCTCATTGTTCTGTATGCTTTTTTGTATGAACGATGTTTTAAAAAAAAAAAGAAGGAACAATGGCTCCGTAGAACATATTTTTCCTTCCCTGTACTTAATCTTATAAAATTTTCTGTTACTTGTTCCTGTAAATTTTGCTGCTTTAATCTAATAAAATCCCAC